TGTGCAACGGCAGGGTAGGAGCCACTTCACATGACCCCCCTCCGCCCCCCAGCCTTAATATTGAACATGCGCCCCGTTACAAGAGGGGCCAGACAAATCTTGAGCCAATCATCTCGAACGCAGTACTTGCCAATGGTATGGCCAGGGGGGTGGAGGGGGAATTTGTGTGTTTTCTAGTTCAGGCGCTGTCGTTGCACAGTTCATCTTTCACCCATTCGAAAGCTCGCGACCTCTTCTTCGGGGAAAATAGGTTACACCACACACGTTTGACACCACAGGCCTTCCCAGGGTGAAAGTTTGCGTTTTTGCATAGGAATCATGTATCCATATTTCCCTTACTTGTGTGCGAGGGCAAGGGGGAGGTTTTGTTGTTACTGTTGTTGTTGGTGTTGTTGCTGTTATTGATGTTGTTGTAGTTGTTCTTGTTATTATTGTTGATGTTGTTGTTGGTCTTGTTGTTGTTGTTGCTGTTGGTTGTTGTTGGTTGTTGTTGTTCGGGCGCTGTTGTTGCAAAGTTGTTTCCTTCAACCGTTCTAAATCGCGTCATTTTCTTCGGCAGGAGGCCGCATGTGTGTCCAAAGCGGCTTGCATCATTAAAGGGCCAGAAACGCATGGAATGTTGGTGGGGGGTTGTCCTTGCTGAGGCGTGCTTTTTGTTTCCGTGTTGAAGACGGGGGTCGTCTAAGACAGCAGTAGTACAGAACATGTGCCGTGAAAGGCCAGGTGTTGCTCTTGTGTTTCAGGGCTGCCGGAAAACAGAACACCCCCCAAAAGAGGTTGCGCCGGGTGGGCCTGCCCCCGCTTTCCAGCACACGCCCGCTCAGACTCGTCCCGCGCTTCACAGCTTCAGCCCAACACGTGGCCGCGCCCGCTACGGCAGTGTGATGTGGCCGTCCCATGGACTCTGATGCGGACCGTAAGTAATTTCTTGTGCTGGGCAAAGCCCTCATTTAAGGGGGGGGATGACCATGTCTGTCCATCGACATGGGTGGGCATCCCAGCTGCAGGCACGAGGGGCGAATCCCAGTGCCTGTCCATCAACAGGGGTGGCCATCCAGTCTAACGCGGCCTCTTCTGAACGCCGCCACTGGTGGAGACTGGCGGCCCGAGGTTCTGCCAGAGGAGGAGGAGGAGGAGGAGGGCCAGTGCAAACCCAAGACTCATCGACGATGTTGTAATGAACCCTCCCTCCAAGCTCACTCTGCATTCGCCCCTAGAAGGGTTCATTTCCACTGAGGGAAGTGCCCCGTTTGGAAACAATCGCTTGAAAATCGGTAACCGTGCCAGAACACCACCCTTGGGACTTTAACGCCGCGGATCACCCTTCCTGTTGCGTCTTGACGGTCCTGAATCGTGCCGGAACGCCGCTCCTGGGGCTTCAACACCGCGGATTAACGTAATTGTTGCGCCCTGGCAATCCTACATCGTTCCCAAAAAAAAGAACCATGGTTGGCACGTTAACCATGCGAATCCGTGAAGCTCTTCTAATTGTTTACAACGGATGTACTATGCGCGGCGCCAAGGCGAAGGCCACATTTTGAAAACGACTTGTCCTCAGTCCGCGAAGCTCTTTCAATTGTTTGAGACGAATGTGCGCGGCGCTACGGCGAAAGCCACATTTTGAAAACGACCTGTCCTAAACCCGTGAAGCTCTTGCGGTTTTTCAAGCAAAAAACGAATGCGCGCGGCGCGAAGGCGAGAGCCACAGTTTGAAAGCGACCAGCCCTCCATCTGTAAAACTGTTGCAAATGTTGAAGCTGCAGGGTCGTAAATGGCTGGGAAGCCTCAGACGACACGCACAGCCCGCCCTTGCGACTGGTCTCGGGTTGCGACAGGGAGGAGTTATTGATCAAGCAGAAGGAGTGGAGGAGGAGGAGAGGGGTAGCTGGAGTTGGCGCTCGGATGGGCAATGTCCGCAAAGAACCGTACGTGCCGTAAGGGCATGCCCAGAACGTTGAGGGATGATGTGTGCAGTGGAGGTCGAGATTTCCACTGCATGAAAAAGTTTGGGGCCGCTTGTGGGTCGGCTGGGCAACCCATGCTGCGCCCAGCGCAGGCGGGACACACACACACACACATATATATATTCCCTTTTCTATATTTTTATAATCCTGGGGGGTGGGACCCCCCCCCCCCGAAATAGGATCCTCCCCAACCGGGACTTCCGGAAACGGGACCCCTCACGAGGATCGCAGCCTCCGAGCGCGAAAATTAGCGCTCTCCGTCCAAAGAGGAAGGTGAGAGGACACGCGAGGCTCCTTGGACCTCCCGAGAGGCTTTCTCGAGGCTCCTACGAAGGCCCAAGAGGGTCCCAAGAGCCTTCCAGAGTCCTCCGAAGAAGCCCCCGAGAGATGAAAATCAGTGATTTCCTATGGTTTTTCTAAGATTGTTGCTTCTTTGCATGTTCACTGTTCCGACGTGCCAAGACGGCCGAAGACGCCCACAAGACCGATGCCAGACGGCTCAAGAGGCCTCCAAGCGAGTCCGAAACCGGCCCAAGACAGCCCCGACACGGCCCAAGGGGTGCCCAAGACGGCCCCAGAGAGCCCCAAGACGGCCTTCAGAAACGGCACCCCTCACGAGGATCGCAGCCTTCCAGCGCGAAACTGAGCGATCTTCGTCCGAAGAGGCACCTACGAGGGTACGCGAGGGTCCTCGGGTTGCCTCAAAAGCTTCTTAAAGGTTCCCCCGACAGCTTGAGAAGGCCCCACGAACCTCGCAGAGTTCTCTAAAGACGGCCCCAAGAGATCAAAATCATTAATTTCCTATGGCTTTCCTAAGATTTTGGCTTCGTTGCATGTTCACTGTTCCGACGTGCCAAGACGGCCGAAGACGCCCACAAGACCAATCCCAGACGGCCCAAGCAGCCTCCAAGCGAGTCCACAGCCGGCCCAACAGAGCCTCCAGACGGCCCAAGCCGTGCCCAAGACGGCCCCAGAGAGCCCCAAGACAAGCTTCAGAGAGAGCTTAAAAGGGAAAAAACATACAATTGCAACGCGCTCGGCTCCCACACGGCCACGCGAGGCCCCAAGCCCCTTCCAGGAGGCCACAAGAAGGGCCACAAGGCGCGCAAAAGGCTTATGATTTCAAGGACTCTGCACCCAGACGCCCACACGAAGCTCCAAGACTCCTCAACGGCTCCCCAGACGTGCCACGAGGCGCCCAAGAGCCGCCAAGAAGCATTCACGAAGTTCCCCCACGACGCCCCACAAGGCCTCTAAGAACCTCCACGAGTTCTCCGAAGAAGGCCTTTATAATCCTGGGGGGTGGGACCCCCCCCCCCCCGAAATAGGATCCTCCCCAACCGGGACTTCCGGAAACGGGACCCCTCACGAGGATCGCAGCCTCCGAGCGCGAAAATTAGCGCTCTCCGTCCAAAGAGGAGGATGAGAACGAAGCCCATACATAACGTTCGTAGAGCCTGCCTGTCCCAAAGTCGCGTCAGCACGCCTCCCCGCGCCCCCCCTGCCTCATATTTGGCAGTATAAAGCTGCATTCTGGTCAGAATCCTGGGTTCGCACCCTTTTTTAAGAAATTTGGTTGCGAACCCGGGATTCGATAAGTTTCCCTCTGAAGTCCTTTTCTTGCATTCCATTTGCCCCTTTCGTTGCTTCGAACACCAAGTTCTCCCACTCCCCCTCCGCAACCTCTGCACATTCGCAATGCGAGCCCGCGAGGACCCCTCGAAGGGACCGCAGGATACCGCGAGAAGCCAGCCGATCCAAAGCTTCAAGGAACAAGATGCATGGCGCGAAGCGCCTATGCAGCCTTGTATATATATATGTACACATACATATATATATATATACACATGTATATACATATATACACATATATATATATATAGAGAGAGAGAGAGAGAGCGAGATACAACAAAATAATAATAATGGGGAGGCGCAGAGAGAAGGGGGAGGAGGGGAAGAGACACAGAGGAGGGAGGAGGAGGAGGAGGTGGAGGGGGAAGAGGAGGAGGGGGAAGAGGAGGAGGAGGAGAAATCTGTGCAGTCTCAGATGCCGGGCTGCGCCCGTGGGCGACGACAGCCCGGCTGGAGCGGGGAGGCCCTGGGCCGAGAGGGGGGCTTTGCTTCCTTCGCCCCCTTCTCCCCATCGGCCTCCCCCCCCCCTCCTCCTTCTTCTCCTTCTTCCCCTCCTCCTCCCTCTCGTCCTCGGCCTCCTCCCTGTCCTCCTCCTCCTCCTCCTCCTCCGCGTTACTATTGTTATCCTTCTCCTCTTCCTCTCTGCCCCACCCCCCTTCTTTCCTCGTTGCTACTTCTCCTCCTCCCCTTCCTGTCTGTTCCCCCTTCTCCTCCTGCTTCCACCTCCTCCTCTTCATCCTCGTTGTCCTTCTCCCTCTCGCTCGCTCCTCCTCCCCCTCGCCATCTCCCCCTCTCCCCATCTCGCTCCCCCATCTTCCCCTCTTCCCCGCCTTCTGAAACGTCTCCCTGGGTGTCCAGGCAGTTGACCAAAAGTGGTTTCGGTCCACTTTCGGACGCTTCGAGGCAAACCTTCCACGGACTTTCCGCGGGCTCCTGCCGAACCTGCGCAGCCCAGACGCATGGCCTCGGTGTTGCAAGGGGCAGAGCGACGGGCTGAGAGTGGTAGTGGGACGGCTGTTGGGACTCCGAGTCGGCCGGGGGTCCGATAGCCAGGCCTGGAGGTGGTCATCCTGGGAATCTGCGTTCCGGTTCTCGGCGGCGAGCGAGGGGGGGAATTGAGAAGGAGAAGGCCCTCTCAGAAGGCGGCGGGACTTCTCAGAAGCCCTCACGCCTTCTGAGAAGTCTTTTCTGTCTTCGGGGAAGGGTTGGAAAACTTCTCAGAAGTCCGGGGAACTTCGGGCCTGCTGAGAAGGCACGCCCCTTCTCACTTCCCCCCCTGGCTCGCCGCCTAGGTTTGACGCGCAAGACCTGCGACAGCCCAGACCCGAAAATAGATCTCAGTTCCTCCCTGTCCCAAGAGCCCTTAGCTGCAGCGATCACCCCCTCGGCTTCTCGGCCTCGTTGGCTCAGGTTTCGGGTGGTGCAGGCCACCACGGTTGCAGTCTAAAGCCAGCCTTGACTTCTCGTCTTCTCAGAATGGCACACTGCAGGAAGGCATACTTATTGCTTGCGTTGAGACGCTGCCTTTGTGTTGACAACTGGGCTGAGGTAACAGATGTTCTTCGGAAGACGCATGGTGCTGATAATTTTGCTTTTTCGGCTGGAAGCGCAGGTGGTCGCAAGTACACGTTTGAGAAGGGATCGACAACAATGTCGACAAAGTTGCTAATGGCTTCCTCAAGTAAGTTTCCTGTTGCCACAGCCATTGCTGGGGTTGTCAACGACGGTCACTTGTCATTTGACACGTTCGCTCACGAAGTTTGGACATGGTGGACAAAGGACCCATGTGACAAAAGAAGCCGCGTCACTCTCCGCAACCTTCTTTCTTTCACGAGTGGGTTTTACGCTTGGGATCCCAGCGGTGAGGTTCCATGCTTGGTTGGCCCAGCTGCTCCATTTTATGAGCCAGAGGCGTGCGCCAAAGAAATATACCGTCTAGCTCCCTTCAAGTTCGAGCCGGGAACCACATTTTCATACAACTCATTCCACTTGCAAGTTGCAGGCGCTCTGGCCGCTACCGCAGCAAATACAACTGTCCAGGATATGATTTCGCATTACCTTCTTCGCCGCGCAAACATGACGGAGACGCAATGGCTGGGTGGGAAGAATCCGTTCCTAGCTGCAGGGATGGTCACAACTGGAGATGACTACGACAAGTTCCTTCGTTCATATCTTTCGTATGAACTCGTTCCGAAGGCGATCGCCGAGCAAATGGAAGCAGATTATTTGGGCCCGCCCTGGATGCCTAAAACGAAGGCTCAGCTTGCTAGCAAGAGTCTTGTAGAGACGATCGGGCACTATTCGATGTGCAATTATTTCGAATGCTTGTCGCACCCCCCTTGGAATTCGTTCCCACCAGAGTGTGAAGCTGCGAAAATCCATGCAGATCCTGGTCTTTTTGGTTACTATCCGTTGGTAGATCGCGCCAATGGAATGTACATGCAAATCGTGCAAGCCGCGTACACTAAGATGCAGCCTACGGCCATTGCAATCGGTTTGCGGTCTCGTGTGAAGCCTTCTGTTGACAAGGCATTGGGCGTTCCACTGCAGACACCAGACCTCAGGAGCGCTAGTTTGCCAGAGCTTGGCACGCTCTCTGATGCAGCCCCAGCTCGCAATTCTTCCACCGGTGCAGCCGCAGATCCACTGGTCGACGGGGAGAGGCTGAAGAATGTGCTTGCAATCTCATTGAGAAGCATTGACAGGCAGACATTACGATCGCAAGGCCTCGAAGACATCGCAAGGCTCTTGTACATCGATCGCGCACCTGTTCACACAGTGCCGACCGCAGCGCTGCGATCACAAGACAACAGCACATGGAAGACAGTCGTCCTGTATGATGTGCTTGAGGACAGTTGCCAGAATACAGTGGCCGATAAGAACCTAGGCGATACCAAAGGCGATGCGTATCTAATGGCGTTTGGCCCACCCCGCCACCGTGCTTGGGTTGTGAGTATAAAGCCTATTGGATGTTCGCTTGGATCTCGTGGGGTGCCTCCCGGGGGCCTCTTAGAGGCAGTTTTGAGGCCTATTGGGGGTTGTTTGGGGGGCCTCCTGGGGCCTTTTCGGGGCCTCTTGGAGGCCTCCTGGATGCCTCTTGGGGGCCCCTTGGGGGCCTCTGGGGGCCTCTTGGGCGCCTCTTGGAGCCTATTGGGGGCCTCTTGGGGCGGAAGGCTCGGACTCTCCGTTCGCGTTCCCTCTCCTCGGCCCCTCGGGCCGTCGTGGGGCGCTCTTGAGCCATCTTGAGGCCCTCTCGGAGGCCTCCTGCGCCGTCTTGGGCTGGTCTTGGGGGCCTCTTGGGCTGGTCCTGAAGCGTCGGCAAGCCGAACGCGCGAGAACGCCAGAATCTTTCGAAAACTCCAGGAGAAGCAATGACTTTTACCTCTTGGGGCCCTCTTGGGAGGCCTCATGGAGGCCTCTTGTGGCGTCTTGGAGGCCTCTTGGGCCATCTTGAGGCCATCCTGGGCATCTCGGGGCGATCTTGGGGCGACTTGGGGCCCTCCTTGACCATCTGGGGGCCTCTTGGAGCCATCTGGGCTCGTTTTGGGGCCCTCCTGGGCGGGGCTGGGCCGACGCGAGCAATTCCGGCATACCTGGGGCCCGCCCGGCAGACCCCAGGCTGGCCTGGGAGACGACTGCCTCCTCCTCCTCCTCCTCCTCCTCCTCCTCCTGCTCCTCCTCCTCCTCCCCTCCTCCTCCTCTCCTCCTCCTCCTCCTCCTCCTCCTCCTCCTCCTCCTCCTCCTCCTCCTCCTCCTCCTCCTCCTCCTCTTTCTCAAAGGCTCATAATTCTGGCTGCAGCAGCAGCAGCAGCACATCCCTCTCAGTGCTGCACGAGCCTTGGGGCGCTCCACCATCGTGCCAGAGGCACGGCGGCGGATTTCACATTGAAAAACGTATACTTAGCAGCTGTATGTTCGCGTTGTGAGGCTGATCCGCGAAGGTGCCGGACAGACCCTGCATTGTTTGATTGCCTCAACCCAGAAGCCACAGGCAAGCTAGTCTTCCGCAAGTTGGAGGTGGAAGTGCAAGACAGCTTTGGACAGTACCAGTATTGCAATGTAGTTCGGGATTGCGAGTATTCCTGTATTAGTTTGCTGCCTTCAAAATGCGGCAAAGGCCCTGTTGGTATGGAATTGATACGTCCTGGGGCCATCATGGCACCACCACCAAATCCTTTCGTTCGTCGGAACTACCAATACTGGAATTACAATGCTGCCAAGGTTCTACAGGGTGGAATGTGGTTTTCGCTTACAAAAGAGGGTGAGGGCGTGTATTGGCGCAATCCCACAATCATCAAAACTATCACCGCCGAGTGCCAGGGAAGATACCTGACGCACGTTGTGCAGAAGCGCGGGGAGCCCTGCTTCAGTCGTTGCCCTCAGCCAGAGAACCAGACATCCATGTGCTGGATCGAATGCTTCTTCGATGTCACTCTTGGTAAAGGTGCTAATCAATCGACGCATCTGTCTGGTGGAATGACTGCCGATGAAATTGCGGATGCGTGGGCTCGGGGATTTGAGCCAGAGAATATAGAGGGTGGTTGCCCGCCTTTGTACCCTAATGGCTTTCGGGAGTTTGTCATTTAAGGCTTTGGGGCTTGGTGTTACGATCTGAGATTAGTTATACACCTTGTGCGAACGGTGCAGCAGGCCCTTACTGTGCTGCTGCACCAACGCTGGTTCGAGGGGCAGCGTAATCTCCTGAGAGTCCTAGGAATCTGCATCAGATATGGCTGCTAAGGACGAGGAGGGGGGATTGGAGGGACGGGGAGGCGAATGGGAGGTGGGGAAGTTCTTGGGTGAGGAAGTGGAAACATAATGTTGGTCTCTCTGTTGTCCTGTATGGGCTCGCTAATTCCCCAAACAGTGCGTGCACTTTGGATTTCTTATTTCTTTTCTGAGGAGCTGGGCCTGTCTGCCGCTCTGGCGGCTATGCAGCCGCCGTCGCCGCCCCGTCGCCGCCTCGTCGCCGCCAGTCGTCTGGGCCTGTCTGCCGCTCTGGCGACTATGTAACCGCCGCACCGTCGCCGCCTCGTCGCCGCCCATCGTCTGGGCTTGTGCGTCGGTCTCGCGGCTATGTTGTCGCCGTCGCCGCTCGTCGCCGCCGTTGTACTGTTTGCTTGCTCGGACTAGAACTTGCTTTGCATTGCGTTGCTTTGCATTGTTTTGATTGCTTGGCATTGCTGTGCGTTGCTCAGTCTTGCTTTGCGTTGCTTTGCGTTGCTTCGCGGTGCTTTTCGTTGCTTTGCGTTGCTTTGAATGGCGCTGCATTGTTTTTGTATTGCTTTGCTTTGCACTGCACTGCACCGCGTCGTTTCAAGTCTGAAATGATTAGGATCTCCCCCTCCCGGACTTATCCCCCCCTGGGGATGCGCAGTTGCATATGATTCTGCCCAATCGTGCCTTCTACGTACGAACTCATATCATCCCAGCCAGGCCGAGTTCGTTCCTCCCCTCTCATCCCCGTCAGATTGAATTTTGCACGCGCATGCGTTTATAAGGGTTTCTCCGAAGGGCTTAGGCGACCCGTCCCCCTCCTCCTCCTCCTCCTCCTCCTCCTCCTCCTCCTCCTCATCCTTCTCCTCCCTCCTCCTCCTCCTCCTCCTCCTCCTCCTCCTCCTCCTCCTTCTCCATCTCCTCTTCCCCCTCACCCTCCACCTCCTCCTCCTCCTCCTCCTTTTCCTCCTCCCCCTCCCCCTCCACCTCCTCCTCCTCCTCCTCCTCCTCCTCCTCCTCCTCCTCCTCCTCCTCCTCCTCGGGTCGCCTACGGCCCCGGGGGAAACCGTGCACTCGTTTATCGTCAATCAGCAGTTTGCAATAATCCCTTGCAACGCATGTGGCAAAGTTCACATGCGCGCGTCGTCGCGCGCGCATCACGAAATCCTGCAAAAATCTTAGGTCCCGTAAGGATTCCAAAATCGAGTGTCCCGAAAACATATTCGCCGGCTCAACGGGCCAGAGGAGTGCTAATGTCTCCGGTAACAGGTTAGCAGTGCAGTATTTCTAGTTCGCGTGCGCGTGGCGTCCCCCGATGACCCCTGGACGAAAAAATCCATGCCGACGCCCGGGCGATGCCCGGCTGACTCCCCCATGGCACTTCAGGAGCGCGCCAAGAGGGTGCCAGGACGCCCCCTACACGGCCCAAGAGGCCCCGAGTCGCCGAAAGATCGTTCCAATACGCTCCAGATGGTCTCCAGATGGCCCTAGTGGCCGTGAAAAAGCCCCAAGAGAGCCTCGAGAGGCTCTCCAAGAGGGCCCCAACAAGCAAAAATCATAAAATTCCTTTTGGAAAACGTTCATATTTCGCATGTACGACGTTTGGAGGTTCACAGCGTCCAGAACAGCTTCAGAGGCCACCAACATCGTCCCCAGACGGCCCAACACGCCCCCAAGATGGGCCCAAGAGAGCCCAAGAGGACCTGAAGACGGCCCAAGAGGGCACCAAGACAGCACAAGGGGCGCCTAAGACGGCACAAGAGGCGCCCAAGACGGCACAAGACAGCCCCAAGAGGGGCCCACGAGGGCCAAATACGTCGAAAAGCTTTTGAATTATCCCGGCAAAGCAACCTAACAGCGATGTGTAGAAGCATATCTGAAAGCATTCCCCTTAAGATTCAGATGAAAATCCAGTTGTCGAATTCTGCTGTTCTCGCAGTCGTAGTCGCATTCGCGATGACAGTCGCAGCGGCAACGGCAGTCGCAGTCACAGCCTCAGCCTCAGCCTGCCTCCTCCTCCTCCTCCTCCTTTCTCCTGCTCCTCCTCCTCCTCCTCCTCCTCCTCCTCCTCCTCCTCTTCCTCCTGCTCGTCCTCGTTCTCGTCCTCCTCGTCTTGCTCGTCCTCCTCCTCCTGGTGCTCTCTCCTCCTCCTCCTCCTCCTCCTCCTCCTCCTCCTCCTCCTGGTGGTCCTCGTTCTCCTCCTCCTGGTGCTTTCCCCCCCCCTCCTCCTCCTCCTCGTCCTCCTCCTCCTCCTCCTCGTCCTCCTCCTCCTCCTCTTCCCCATTCCCTCACCCAGCTTGATTCTGGGCCCTTGTCCTCGCTACACTCCTCCTCCTCCTCCTCCTCCTCCTACCTGGTAGTCCTGCCCCCTCCCCTCCTCCTCCTCCTCTCCTCGTTCTCCCTCTTGTCGTCCTTCGTTCCTCTTCCTCCTCGTCCTTGCTCGTCCTCCTCCTCCTGTTCTCTCTCCTCCTCCTCCTCCTCCTCTCCTCCTCTCAGCCCCCCGATACTCCTCCTCCTGTTGGTCCTCGTTTCTCCTCCTTCCTTGTACTCTCCTCCCCCCTCCTCCTCCTCGTCCTCCTCCTCCTCCTCCTCCTCTTCCTCCTCCTCCTCCTCCTCCTCCTCCTCCTCCTCCTCCTCCTCCTCCTGGTACTCCTCCCCCTCCCCTCCTCCTCCTCCTCCTCCTCCTCTTCCTGGTCGTCCTCCTCCTCCTGGTCGTCCTCCTCCTCCTGCTTGTCCTCCTCCTCCTCCTGCTCGTCCTTCTTCTCCTGCTCCTCCTGCTCCTCGTCCTGCTCCTGCTCGTCCTCGTCCTCCTGGTCTTGCTCGTCCTCCTCCTCGTCGTGCTCTTGCCCCTGCTGAAAATGTGGCCCAGGAATGGGAGTTCTGGGAAGTCGAAGAGCTCGAAGTTGCCTACAGTTGGCTACGGGCATTCAAAATGTGGCCCGGGAATGGAGTTCTGGGAACTCGAAGAGCACGAAGTGGCCTACAGTTGGCTCCGGGCATTCAAAATGTGGCCGGGGAATGGAGTTCTGGGAACTCGAAGAGCACGAAGTGGCCTACAGTTGGCTCCGGGCATCCAAAATGTGGCCCGGGAATGGAATTGCCCGGGAATGGAATTCATGGAACTCGAAGAGCACGAAGTGTTTGTGACTGCTGCAAATCCGGCACCTCCAGTATGTGGCAAGGGGAATGGTGTTCTGGATACTCGAAGAGAACACGAAGGAGCTTCCTGGTGCATCCGGCCTCCTGATCATGTGGCCCGGGATGGGAATTCTGGGCGTTCTGGATGTCGTTAGAGCACGGATGTGTGTGACTGTTGCATCCGGGTATTCAGAATGTGGCCAGGGAATGGAGTTCTGGGAAGGCGAAGAGCACGAAGTGTGTGACTGTTGGTGAAAAACGAGCCCGGCACCCTGCCGCCCGGCAACTCCCCAACACCTGCCCGGACCCCCCTGTGGAGTGATCTGTGAGCTCTTTTGAGTCAACTAGAAACCTATCAGTCTTCGCTGTTAGGTAAAAACGTCTGTTAGCGACGTGGTCTGCCCCTCCACACTGCTCCAGGAAGCCAGGCAACACCCCCAGTCTCCTCCTCCTCCTCTTCCTCACCCTCGTCCTCTCCTCACTTGCTTCTCCTCTTTCAGCCGAGCGAAATTGTTCCAAGACGCTCCAGAAGCGTTCAAACACGCCGCGAACGGCCCCCCACAGATGTGCAACAAGCGCCGAGAACCTGCCCCACCCTCGGCCCCGAGAGGCGCCCAGCAGGCCCCCAAGAGGCTCTCAAGAGGCACCCCAAGAGGCCCCAAGAGGCCCCCAAACGGCCCCCAAGAGGCCCCAAGAGGCCACGAACGCGCAGGCAAATGCCTGCGATGGCACAGTACGGGCCTGCGGAGTGAGCAAAGCGATTCAATAAATTATCCCAGTGCGACCCTACCTAGGAGTTGGAGCATCTGGGAAAGCAACATCTACATCTACACCGACAGCTACATTAACATCTACACCTGCATCTACATCTACATCAACATCAACAGCGAGACTCACATCTACATCTACACCTACATCTACACCTACATCTACATCTGCATCTACACCTACACCTACATCTACATCTATATCTACACTTTCGCATTGGTTTTGTTTTTGCTTTGCATTGCCTTGCCTTTGCTTTTGCATTGCCTTGCCTTTGCATTGCCTTGCTTTTGCTTTCGCTTTGGTCACGGAAGGCACTGCTTGCGGGGGCTCCGGTTCGGCCATCGAGGCTAGCTCGGCATCTGTCGCACACTGCTTTTGCTTTGCCTTTCCTTTGCTTTGCTTTTGATTTGCTTTGCTTTGCGATGCTTGTGCTTTGCTTTGTTGTCGCTGCTGTTGCTTTGCCTTTGCTTTGCTTTGCTGCTATGCTCTGCTGTGCTATGCTGTGCTGTGCTGTGCTGCGCTATGCTCTGCTATTCTATGCTATGCTATGCTATGCTGCGCTATGCTATGCTATGCTTGGCTATGCTATGATATGCTGTGCTGCGCTATGCTACGCTATGCTATGTTATGCTGTGCTCTGCTATGCTAAAGCTCAGCGAAGCTAAGACGAAGGTAAGCTAAGCTAATATGAAATAAGCTAAGCTAAGATAAGCAACGCTAGGTTAAGGGGACGTAGCTGGTGGAACCGCGGGGCGGATACCGGGGGAACCGCCCGGGGCGATTTCCTCTGCCCGGCCCCTTTAAGAAAGAGAGTAAGAACCCTTAGGACAACCATCGGTGCTCAACATGTTTATCAAATGCGGCCAGGCGGGCCTCGCGCGCGTATGTCGAAGTCATTCGAGCGCCTTCGCGCGTGCTGGGGAGGGGGCACGATCCATGCCAAAGAAGACCATTCGGGCCATTCGCGCCAGTCGGCCGCGCGCACATGTCGAAATCCTCCCAACACCTTCGCCACCGACACGTGGACACCATCATCGTCATCGGCGGGATCAGCATCGGCGCCGTCACTGGCCGTGCCGTCGTCATTGTCAGTATCGTCACCGGCATCGCTAGC